ATGTGTTAATTATATTCCCATATTCCAAATAAGAAGCAAAGGCATAAATAGGTTAAGTAACTTGCCCAAGCTAATGAAACTTGGCAAAGCTGGAATTCTAACCCCAGGCACATTTATCACCACTACAATCATTAATATATTGTATTTTATTCTGAGAAAAGAGGAGTAATCTAGGTGTGCGTGGGTGGTGGGGTGAGGGGGAAACAAATCCAACAAGCCACTTCTTTAAATCTGTGGTTCTCAACCTTGGTTGTACTAGAATCATCCAGAGAATTTAAAAAATATTGGCTGGATCCCACTCAGAGATTTTTATTTAATAAAGTTGGTGTGGTTTGGGCAGTAGGATTATTTAAAACTTTAAATTCAGTTAGTGAACCACTGTCCTCAATGATTCCTGACTGGAATTGGTAGTATCCTTGTCAAGCTGGAAGAGGAAGTACATGTTTAAAGCTATCGGAGCATTTACTTACACAAACTATGTATTGGGTGGAGTAGTTTACTATGTAGCAATGGTTTAATATATCTTTATTTTCTTCTCAAATACAGTCATAGCCCCTACTCATTTTGAACTAGAGACCAATGGGCAAAATAAAAGTACACAGCCAAATGATCACCTGACAACGGAATCTGTGGAAAGCATGCTTCAGAAATTCACGGAATCAGTTCATGAGGCCGCATATGAAGACCCGAACTTGCCAGTACAGGCAGCAAGAGAGTTTCAGGCCACCAGTCCTCATTCAGATGATGAGACAATGTATTGTGCTACTGAAAAGCCCACGTGAGTGCCAGCAGCCTTATATTTAGAAAGTAAGAATGGGAGAGTGTTACCTTTGGTTCTCAACTTGTTTCCTTGGGTGTGGTTAAATTTGACCTGTCATTAACTTACTAGACTTGTGGAAGGAACCTTCCAGGGTTGTCTGCTGTTTCCAATATGTTGCTGATGAGTTTAGAGAGGTGAGTGAGTGAGTGAGCACAAAGTGAGTTTGAATGAAGGCCATGAGGGTTTTTCATTCATTTCTTGTTTAATATTTTCTGTGACCTTTAATTTGGGATGTGCAAATTACTTCGAAATTAATATAAATGTGGTATTAATCATCAGAGTTTAAAAATTGGCAGCCACAGAACAAATTAAGCCAAATCTGTTTTGATTTTTCATTTAAAATTAATTTAATTACTCTTAGAAGGACCTGGTACTCTCTTATTTCCTTCCCTACCATTTAACATTGCACAACTTCTACCCATTCACCTGACTACCTATCCCATGAAAGGACTTGAGTTTGTGCCACTTAGAGCTTTTACTAATAGGACTAAGAACTTTGCTAATTAGTTATATGCTTTAAGAGTGTTAGATTTAAATAATTTCTAATCATTAATTAGTACAATTATAATAGACAATAGCATACTTTACAGAATACCATTTTAACAGAGTTTGGTGTAGGAACAACTACTTTTACTTGCTTGAAATTATTCACTTCTTTTCATCTGCTTATAATGAATACCCAAGTGCGGAAGTATATATTACTATGTACCCATCTCTCAGCAGTTAGAGTCAGTTATGTTTTTACTGAACTACGATTGGAGTATATATTGTAAGGTAGAGACAGATGAATAGGGAAGGCATAAACACTTCATAATCAGAGATGAAAAGTAATTTGGAGCTAAAGCCAAGGTACATGATCCTTGGCATAACTGTCACAGAAGGTCCTTGTAGGTGGAACTGCACTGGCTCGGGCGGGCCTCACTGCTTCATTTCCTCTGAGTAGCTTTGAGATTAACCGACACCTGCAAGTTCTATGGCATACCTTCAAACAAAACAGAGCCTCTTTTCTTTCCCTTATACTGCCTGTTAACAAGCTATGTTCTCTGATAACATACATAATGTCAAATTTTCTGTTTGTTTTAATTTACCCTTAGATGCTACAGGAATAGGTTTTCATTTTTAATGTTTGGATTTAATAATGAAAATATGACAATCCTGATTATTGTTCCGATTTTCAGAAGGAACATCTAGGGTCCTGGCTAGAGGTATAAATAGTTAATATCCACAGCCATTGAAACCCAAATTCTCTGTTTAGCATACTGAACCATGAATCTCTCTATAGCATCTCTAGATGCTTTCCACAAATGTAGCTCACTCCATCCAGGCAGTGTTCACTGTCTCTGTGTGGAATTTAGATCTTTATTCTTTTTACTGCTATTATTTGAACAGTGAAAATAAGAAAAAATTATAAGTAGGTAGGTATCTTTATATATTTATTGCGAAAATAAAATTTCTCCCCCCCCCCATTTGAAGTATATTTTCTATAGAAATTTTGTAATAGACATGTATATATTATTTACTTGTTTAATATTGTTTAATAGGCTTTTTTCTATTACAGCATTAAGGAACATAGAGATGATGATTTGAATTGTGAATCTATGATTCCTTGTAAAATTACTTCAGACTTAAATAAAGAGAAAACAATCACATTTCTTCTTAAAGAACTGGATGTTCTCAGAGCAAGCAATGAAGAGGTATAAGATAATGATTATATAATATGATTTAACTGAACTTGCTTTGTTGTTCATCATAACTCAATTCTATTATGTAAGACTTTAAGACTTTCCAGGGTAGTTTGGTCACTTCCAGTTGGTCCATTGACGTGGTTCACTTGAAGGATTGGTTACGCGTGGGTTCCTGCTTTTCTGGCCACTAGTATCACTTTATTCACATAAGTCTGTGGTAGTTACCTAAGAGGGGAAATTAAATTCACTCAAGTTTTATTGTATGTAGTTACTTCAGAATAGTGCAGTGATTTCACATTACTTTCTTAGGTTCTTTTCTTTTTAAATTAGTATCTGTGCCCCGCATTTCATTTCACTTCAAAATATGTAATTAAAAATAGCAAGATGCCCTTTACTGTGTGTTATTTTGTTTCATTTTGTCTAATTCAATGTGATGTCATATTTTTTCTTATTTTCTGGCCTCTTTTCTACATACACTTCTTTGAACATAACTACCTCAATGTTCATCTACTATATTTTAAGAAACTGATTATGCTTCTGATTTTTGAATTTTAATCTTGAACAAATCAAATGGAAGCATGTTAGAAATGTTGAGATATCTGATGGAAAACAATTAAGTGACAGAAACCTTGAGAGAAATAAAAATATATATTTGTTAAAGTTGTATGGCTTCTGTGTAAGAACATAAGGTATTTTTGATTTCTTAATTTAGCAATTACTTATTACATATATATTTTGAGTCAGATACCAATGACAATTAAAATGGGATATGATAAAAGAAAAATTTATATAGCAAGATTATTATCAGAATTAACTTTGTTTCAAAATACTGAAATGTCTAAAGGAAAGATGTAAAGCTGTGCTATCCACTGTTGTACTGGAAATTGTCCCTCCTAAGGATTTTGCTTTAAAACAAAAGAATGAGTGTGGTATCTTGTTGTGGTTACATTTAATAAAATATATGTATATGTGTGTATATACACACACACACACACATATTTGCACTTAATTTCATTTGCCTGTACACACACAGGAAAATAAAATGTCTGGGCAATTTCTTTATCAACTCTGTTGATGTTATAAAATATTTAGAACTTTAGGATACCTTTCCCCCCCCTTTCATTTTGGAGTTATGTATTTAGGCAGTAAGATATAACAGTTTAGGAAAGAAACAGTTTTTCTTTGGAATGAATTGTATTTGTGGAGGTTATTTGCAAGATAAAGATCCATTTTCTTCAATATCTTTCAGCTTCAAGAAAAACTGACTAAAGAAGATAAGCAACAGAGAAAACTAAAGCTTAAGCTGGAACTTCAAGAGAAAGCTGCAGAAGCTGAAATTGCTGAAAAGACGGCAGGTATAAAAGATGACTATTAGCATCGGGCCCTACGAGTCACACACAGGTTGTTATATGATGGGAGTACTAGCATATTTGCCAAAGGAGGACGCGATCTTGCTCTCCCTCCCTCTCTCTCTTTTTGGCTGCTTTGAAAATAGGTGGCGTTAACATCCTGGTACTGGTATTAGTGAGAGCTTTACCTGTATTCAGACTGATTTGGGCATTAAATGCATTGTTAACACCATGTCAATCCAATCACAAAAAGGTTGTTTGTTTTGTTGGAAGGGCCTGAACAAACAAGGGGAAATAATGATTACCAGTGCCTCTACCTTTCAACCAGCAGTTCAAATACCACTTATTGTTTTAGCTCCTGGAGAGGAAATACCTCTCCTTTGTATGAAGACAGTCATATATTCTTTGCCAATGGAAACCTATATTTGATTCAAAAATCTGTTTTGCGCAATTAAGGTTTTATCTGATGATGTGGATGATGATCTTATTTTCCCTAAGATGCTTAACTGAAGTCTGCTAAAATTTAAGATTATAAATGGGTGCCTGAAATATATTTTAGAGTCTATTTTTATTCATTTATTTTCAAGGAGAAATTTTTATAATATATCTGAGATATGTTACAGATAGAGCAGGTGATTCTCAGTAGCCTATGATCTCTCGCTATATGTAACTTTGACTATCTTCCTCACATTGTTTTAGAATGTTAAGGATATAACAGAAATTTCATTTACTGAGGCATTAGTAGCTAGAGGCATTTTAGAGAGCACTTATTTTAATATATCAGTTGAAATGTATTTTGTGACTAGTCACATTTTGATCATGCTTTATAAGCCATTTAGCTTGGTTGCATATATAAAAGAATTCTGATATTTCATTTAAGTCCTGTAACCTGCCTTTTAAAATATTCCTATGGGGAATCCAGGACAGATGAACCCCCTCAGGACCAGTGATGAGAGTGGTGATATGGGAGGGTGGAGGGAAGGTGGGATAGAAAGGGGGAACCGATCACAAGGATCTCCGTATAACCCCCTCCCTGGGGGACAGACAACAGAAAAGTGGATAAAGGGAGACATTGGACAGTGTAACACATGACAGTAATAATGATAATTTATAAATTATCAAGGGTTCATGAGGGAGGGCAGTGGGGAGGGAGGGGGAAAATAAGGAGCTGATTCCAAGGGCTCAAGTAGAAAGAAAATGTTTTGAGAATGATGATGGCAACAAATGTACAAATGTGCTTGACACAATGACTGGATGTAATGATTGTGATAAGAGTTGTACTAGCCCTCAATAAAATGATTATATATATATATATATATGGATAATAGGGCAAGTAACATCATTACAAGATAACCATAAATAATGATTCTCCATCTGAATAGCATGTTTGCTTTTCTGTTAATGTTAAACTACCATGTTTTCTTCTCTTTTAGGTGGGTTATTAGGAGAATTATATATTTTAAAGAAAGTGAACTGTGTGTTTAAAAGTAGCCATTCATATGTAAATTTTGAACAATTTTTAAGATTTTTGTCTTTTTATAGCCATTTATATACAAGTATCCTAATTGCTAGATTGGTAACATAAGAAATACATTTGTTTTATCATGTTTGTATAGTAACTTAACTTTATACTTTAAAGGAGTAATGTAATATAATTTGGTCATTCAAGATTTACTGAAAATTATAAATTAATATATTTGCATAGTTCATTTTATGTTCGAGGGGGTACTGATTAAGTGCTAGTATTTACTGTTTTCCTGAAACTTTTCTATAATATAGCTTAACATTCTTCAGATATTTATTGATTGACCTATACTGAAGGATTCCCTGTCACTAAACTATTTGAATCAGACGTACATACAAGATAAAGTGTAACCATGTAAATGGATTGTTTTAAATTTTTGTTCTTAAACTATTTCTCATTAATGATGAAATAATCATTTTAAAACCAAAAGTAGGCCAAACTCAATTCCAATTCAGAGCGAGCCTACAGGACAGAGTAGAACTGCTCTGTAGGGTTTTAGAAGCTGTATACATTTTACAGGAGCCGGTAGCCCCATCTTTCTGCTGAACGTTGGCTAGTGTGAGTTTGAACTGCTGACCTTGTGGTTAGCAGCCCAATGTGTAACCCAGTATGCCAACTAAGGCTCCAGTAAGAGTGCAGTCAAGGCTAAATATTTGAAAGATTGAGTATGTTTAGTATGTCTTTATAGTGTTCTAAACCTAGTTTTAAAAGTTAGTAACTTAAAAAAAACCCGAGCTGTATAAGAAAGTAGAAAACATTTATATAGAATATTAAATATTTATTATAAAATATTTCTTATAATAACAAGATAACTAAAAGTCATCTAATATATAACCACCATTGTCCTGCATATTGGGAGGCGTCTCAAATCACCAGCCTTTCTGTTAGCTGAGCGCTGAACTACTTTGCCACCACAGTTAAATAAATCAGTACTTCTGAGATAAGAGACATGATAATTAAAAGGTATTTCTGAAGAATATAACATTGTCTTGAAAAGCATATATTAAAATAAGAAGCAGAACTTAATGGTCTTAAAAGAAATGGAGATATTAATATCTTTGGAGTCCCCTAGTGGTGCTAACAATTAAGTACTCTGAAAATAACTAAGATTGTTAATTCCAGCCCATCTAGTGGTGCTGCAGAAGAATGTCCTGGTGATCTTCCAAAAGAGATAACAGCTTTGAAAACTATGGATTGTAGTTCTACTCTGCACAACTGTGGGTGCCATGAATTGACATTAACTTAATCATATTGGCTTGAGCTCTTTTGTTTTGTTTTGTTTTATTCGTATCTTACTGAACAATATTCTACCTTTCTCAAAAGTACTTTGTTTAAAGAGCATGGATTACATTTAGAAGTAGAAAAAGAAAACTACTCAAAGATGTGGTCTTGTTTTTGTTTCAGTAATTTTCTCCCCTCTAATCTTAATAATAGGAGCCCCAGTGGTTCAAGGGTTAAACCTTGCATAACCAATAGATTGGCTCTTTGAACCCACCCGCAGCTCTGAAACACAAAGAACTGCCAATCACTTCCATAAAGAAAACCCAATGGGATGCTGTCACAGGGGATGACTGAGTAGGGATCAACTCAGGCACCCAGCAACAACAATCTGTATATTGGAACTCCTAGGTAGTGCAAATGATTTAGAGTTCAGCTCCTAATGGATCCACCCAGAGGAGCCACGAAAGACAGATCTGCCACCCTACTAAAAGATCACAACCATTGAAACCCCGGTGGAATCTAGTTCTACTTTGACACACGGGGCTGCCGTGAATCAAATCAACTTGTTGCTAATGGATTTAATCTTAATATCATTTCTGTGACAGGTTGGAAGTACAAAGACCTTATCAACCAAAGTCTGTGAAATCTATCTGATGGTCCTGAGAAAGTCTTGCCATTTTAGCCATAACATTTGGTGGTGGTGGTGGTGGTGATGGTGCCTTTCAATATCTCTCTTCCTTATTTTTTAATGTTTATGTGCATTATGTAACTATACATATATAATAATAAAAACCAAATAAAACAGAAGGTAACCAATTCTCAGAGAGGTAGTTTGAAGCTGTAGTAGCCCAATAACCTTGGAGGAAAATTGACTCAAGTTCTAATAACCTCTTTGATACTAACTTTGATTGGGTACCTTTGAGTAAATTAGGGTCTCCAAGCCTATTCCCCCCCCCCATGTAACAATGGGCTCAAATATAATAAAAATGGTGAAAATGGCACAGGACGGGGCAGTGTTTTTGTGTTTTATATATAGGGCTGCTATGAGTCAGACTGACTTAATGGCATCTAATAGCAACAACAACAAAAATGCATATAAAGTTTGCTAATTTATAAAAGTATTTTAAAGATGAGAGCTAGTGTATGGAGGGGCATCAAATAGTTGGTAGAACATTCCATTGTCTTTTCATCTCATTTTCTATGAACTTTTTAAACCTCCTTAATATATAAGTACCTTGTAGATAACTGAAAAGGAGCCCTAGTGGCGTAGTGGTTACTCCTGGGTCAGCAGTTTGAAACCACCAGCAAGCTCTGTGGGAGAAAGACACTGGGCTTCCTATCCCATGAACAGTTACAGTCTGGGAAGATCACAGGGGGTGCTGCGTCAGCAGTGACGCGATGGCAGTGCATTTGGTTTTTTGAGTATATAACTGAAGAGCTCTGGTGATGCTTCCTGTTACGTATTGGTTTGCTCAGACCCACCAATGGAGACAGATTAAACCATTTGTTCCCCAAAAGATTTAGTCTCAGAAATCACATTTAGGCTAGGATATGAGTCAGAACCCACTCCATGCAGTGGGCAGTACAGTGGTACTAAGTTGTTGCCACAATTAATGTTTTTTTTTATTATTTTTACTCTTACAGAATTCTTAAACCTTTGATTATTGTCTTGCTAGGAATCATGAAAATATTTTTATTTCGTTTCCCTTGAAAAATTACTGGTTCAAGGCTAATAGATTTTAAAAAGAAAATAAACTGAAACATGAAACAAAGGATTGGATCATGAGGAAATCTCTGTGTAATACCTTTAGCTAAAATATGAATCTAACATGAAGGAAATGATATTCAAAAACTTAGGCTTAATTCAATGTGTACCTGTGGTAACCTTCATATAAACTATTATAATAGTCTTCAAGCCTGTTTACTTTACTTCTCTGTTGGCTTTGCATAATGTTACTACTGTCATTGTAATGTGATCTTACTGGGAGTTTGAAACTCAGTTGTCTTCCCTCTCATGGTAAAATTTCAGACAGTTGGCCCTTTTACCTTCTCCTTATCTTACATCATAGTCATTGTCATAATCACCATCATAAAAAATTACTATTTAATGATTTATAGGAATCATGCTAAGTTCTTTTCACATCAGCCAAGAATTATTTACTGTACATCTGGGCTGATCACGGAACAGATACCAGCTAAGAAGATAGACTTGGGCTTGTGTGTGTTTGACTGCAGCTACTTCTCAGTCATACCACACCCT